AGCCAAATAACATACAAAGATGGGTGAGTGAGTCCTGATGCTTAGCTATTAGTGCTAATGAAGTCCTGTTATTTCCTAAATTATATATTGAGAACTCATATATCACTAATTATTATGGCCTGATAATTGCAGCCAAAAATTCCATGCTAACTAGCACTTTGAGAAAGAATGCCAAAGCGGCATGCTGTATATTCTCCTTCAAGATGCACTTTCTACAAAAAGCATGCCTTATGACCTAAAAACTAGATTAAAGTTGGACAAGTTGCTGTCCGTTGGTCAGCATATGTACCTGTGTTTCTCCAAAAAATAAGACCAGGTCTTTTTTACTCACCTTCTGCACTGACAGCCCTGCCCAGCCGGTCCACTTCTTCTACAGCCAAAGGAGCAGCTGCATTCTGGCCTGCGTTTTGCAGTCAGGCCTCTGCAGCCGAGTATCAAGCTATGGATTCAATCCATAGCTCGGTTCTCGGCTGCAATGGCCTTTCCAGAAATGCAGGCTTGACTGAGACATGCAGGCCTGGCTGCAGAAGACGCCTCAGAAGAAGTGGGCCGGCGAGGAGAGGCCTGGCTGCAAGTGGGTGCAAGGCGCATGGGGCAGATCCACCCCCCCACCCCATGCTAGCTTGATTTTTAAGTGTTTGCCTCACCCCAAAACTAGGGCTTATTTTGGGGGCAGTGCTTACTTTCAGGGAAACAGGGTATATCAGCTAGATACTCGGCACTGGAAAACTAAGGAACAAACTAGAGAGTGGTACAAGGAATTGGAATGTAAATTAGATCAGGGGTCCCCAACCTTGGCAACTTTAAGACTTGTGGACTTCAATTCCCAGAATTCCTCAGCCAGCTTTGCTGGCTGAGGAATTCTGGGAGTTGAAGTCCACAAGTCTTAAAGTTGCCAAGGTTGAGGACCCCTGAGCTAGATCACGAAGTCCTTGAAATCCAACGGATGTTAAAGACACCGTCAAATCAATCCTGACTTGTTCTGACTGGCCATATAGTTTTTGGAAGTTGATTGACATTGTCTTCTTCTACGATGTCTGTTTCATTTCCAGGTCTGGTCTACAGCCCTGGATTCTCTAGGCTGGCAAGACAGTGAGCTGGATGCCCATCCTAGCCCAGAGATATGCCAACTCAGCAGAGTCCTTTTTAATCTGTAGCTAACAGAGACCGTAACGGAGTCACGGCTTGGAATGGGTCAAGGTCAGGAATCCAATAAGCAAATGGCAGAGCCAAGGAAGAAGGCAAGAGGCACGGTGAGGGGGGGCAATCCAGAGTTCAAATCATGGGAAACTCAACACAGTTGCAAAGTTGCCTTCACCATTTTCCGTTAGGGTGGGAAACCAAGAAGGAAGCCAGCTGAGCTATCATCCAAATGCACAACTGAGGCACGTGACTCATTGGACTTTACTTTCTTGCCAGCCTGCTTCTACCTGACCTGTGGAGCTGAGCTCTCGGCTGTTGTAGTGGATGGATGAACTTCAGAGTCTAAGTCACAGGTCGGCAACCTGCGGCTCCGGAGCCGCATGTGGCTCTTTGAGCCTTCCCCTGTGGCTCCCAGCCTCCTCTGCCATTTGCAGAGAGAGACAGAGGGGCACTTGAGCTTCCCTGCTTCTCTCTCTCTCTCTCTCTCTCTCTCTCTCTCTCTCTCTCTCTCTCTCTCTCTCTCTCTCTCTGTGTGTGTGTGTGTGTGTGTAAAAAAAAAAGAGAGTGGACTCACGGTGTTCTCCGAGGAGCTGAAAAGCTTACTGGGCGGGGCTCCTGCCTTGGCTGCGTCTCTGCAGGAAGCAGGAAGGGCAGGAGAGAGCTAGCTAGCCCAGCTATGCTGGCTTAGGAATTCTGGGAGTTGAAGTCCATGAGTCATAAAAGAGCCGAGGTTGCCTACCCCTGAGCTTGTTGGAGAACAGCTTGAAGCCAGCTTGCCAGGTGAGCAAAAGATCGGAGAGAGGGAGAGGGGGGGGAGAGAGAGAGAGAAAGGGAGAAAGGGAGGGAGAGAGAGAGGGAGAGAGAAAGAGAGAGAAAGAGAGAGGGGAGAGGAAAGAGAGAGAGGGGGAGAGGAAAGAGAGAGAGAGAGGAAAGAGAGAGGGAGGGAGAGAGAGACAGACCCTTTTGACATCTAAAATGAAGATAACACTGCATATACCCTTTTTTACCTTTATGATATATATATATTGGTAAAAAAGGATATATGCAGTGTTATCTTCATTTTAGACATCAAAGGGGTTTTGCAGCTCCCATTGTTTTGTTTTCGGTGGGAAACAGGTCCAAGTAGTTCTTTGAGTGTTTTGGGTTGCCTATCCCTGGTCTAAGTGCTTGTCAACTGGTGCGAGCAGAGAGTCCTGGGCCCTTGCTGGATCTTCCTCAGGCAGAGTGACTGCACACCTAATCCATCAGATCGGACTTTCCTAAACTTCCAGTCATCCCCAACCAGCATCTTGGCTTAGAAGGTTGCAGGGCAAAGCCCCAAAGGTGCCAGTTTGAGGAAAGCCGCCATAGCTTTGTTCCCTGGGACCTAAAACATGGTTTGTTTTGCTGTTTTGTCCGGGCATCAAACATCAGACTTACTCCAGTGCAATGCCGCCATCGTGGAAAGATGGCTTCACCAGCTCAGTGCCCATTCCTGGAGCTCGGATTGTCAAGAGATCATTAAACCCATGTCAATTCTGCAAAAGGAACAAAGGGCTGCTGCCACAAAGGACTCTCCTTTGTAAGATTGGCTCTGTTTTGTTTTAAACAATAGTTTCATTACAATGAGCTGCTTTTTAATAATCCAATAAGACAGAACAATGAAGCGATGTCTGGAACACTGCAGTAGGCAGGCTGCAGCCTTTTCCATTATCCTACAGACAAGCATGAGGGAGTTAGAGTAACATTAACTCATGCTCTCCAAGTTGCCTGTTCATTAAACTATCATGATTGCCGTTTCTATTATTTCCAGGGTTTTGCCATTTATTTACCATTTACCAGCTCATACATATGGAAGGCATGGTTTACAGTTCCTGGAGAACTGCACTTTTCATCCTAATTGATTCTGGTAATTAATTTGTTCTACCTGCTGGATTAGATGGAACTGCTGTCCATGTGCCCAAGGATTACCACTTGTCTTTCTAACATCTCTCCTAATTATCTAATAGCATGGGTTGCGAGAATTCTGGCTCTATTAAAACATTTTGACTATTAACAGCCCCTGACTGGAATTGTGATGACAACTCGATTTTGACAAATTAGAGCTTAAAATTGGGAGATGAAGGAGAAGTGCCTTCTTTTAATTTCCCTGAATTTAACATCAATAATTAGAGCAATTTTCCAAGATGCGAGCTGAAATTATCTCGGCTGTGATGTGGAGTATCACCCTAATTTTAGCAAATTGACTCTGGGGAAATGAGCATTACAGATTAGAAGGAGATAAAAAACCCAGAGAAACGAGAGAGGGGGGGGGAGAGAGAGAGAGAATGAAGAGAGAAAAGAAAGGATGCATTAAGATTTTAAAGGAGTGAATGTAAATAAAATCCCAGTAAAATCATGGATTAGCCATGCTTAATGAAATCAATGGGCATCTTCAGACTTCAGTGTCTGTCCTATCATTGACTATGCATTTGTGCACTTCAGTATTAGGGCAGATTAAAAGAAATTTGAAAGAAAGTACCATGGTATTTTTGGTGGATATTTGTCACAGCAAAAAATGATGTGGTTATGATGTGGTTTGTTTGTTTGGCTTTTTTAGACTGTATTTTGGGGAATAATTTGAAAGTTTTTAAAGTAATAGTTAAGAAAGTAGCTTTGAGGTTTAAACATATTTTTTTAATGAGAATTGGGATAACTTCTTGGGAATCTTCCCTGACTTAATACCCTTCAAGTGTACTGGATATGCAGCTCTGGAATTTCACCCATCAGAATGAAAGTCAGTCCTAATATATCTTGGGGGTGCTAAGTTAAAGAAAGTGGGGTAGCACTGTCACTTCAGTATCATACCCCCTCTCAGGCGTGGTGCAAAAGGATTCACACATGCTTGTAATCTGCTTTCTTGTGTTTTAGTATATCCTGTGATATCCTTTCTTCTAATTGTTTGTAAACCATGATTTATGATTAAGCCAAATGATTACAGCCAAAGGAGTGTGGAATTGTCCCTGGACAGGTTTTCAGGGTGAGTAGCCCATCATCCTAGATGATAGCCTAGTCCTAACTGCAACTTTTGTCTATTGCGGTCCTTCATACCTGCAAACAGGAATGATGAACTTTGCACAACAGGCTTAAGTTGGCTATTGGATGGATCCATTTGTGGGGCTCACACAATCCAATGAACTAATAACCAGCCAAGCTAACTGGCTTGCACTCATCCAGTGGACCGCCCAAAAGCTTACTTCACCTTACTAAGCTCAGCACATGCGGCCACCGTGAGCCCTTGAACATGGCCCACAGGAAGTCAACCGAGAGCTGCTTCTCTTCTGGTCTACAGGTATCAAAAGAGCAAGGCAAGTTGTTGCAAGCTTCTTGTCTTCACCGGTGAGCTCACCTGTAAAGGAGAGAAGAAGTGGGAGAAGAGGGAGAGACGTCAAACCCATTTTATCCTGCCCCCGCCCCCACCCGCCCATTGCCCGGGGGTCCGTGGCTTCCAGCCCCACCGCTGACTCTCTCTCTCTCTCTCTCTCTCTCTCTCTCTCTCTCTCTCTCTCTCTCTCTCTCTCTCTCAGCACCATGGAGAGCAGCCCCGTCGCTTGCCATTCAGGTGGGCGACTTGATGCCCAAGCCGGCCTTCCCTCCGCCCTGCTCATTCGCGATTGGCTGGTTGGAGATGCCCCTCTCGAAGCGGCCCTCAAAGGCACATCTCTCTCTCTCTCCCCCCCCCGCCCCTCGCCTCCAAAAGACCTTCAAGATCGCGGCGCGCTCCTCGCCCGGCTCATCCAGGGCAGCAGAGAAGAAGGTGGATCGCCCCCTCCCCAAGTTCCGAGGAGAGAGGGCGCCCCGATCCGTCCCCACGAGCAGAGTTGGGCGAAATGCACAAGATGAACCTCAACTTCACCTCGCCCGCCATGGCCCCCAGGCCGACCTCCTTCTTTATCGAGGACATCCTGCTCCATAAGCCCAAGCCCATGCGGGAAGGAGGCCCCGAGCCTTTCCACGGAGCCCTGGCCTCACGGGTGCCTCTGCTGGACTATGGGTACCCGCTGATGCCTCCCCCGGCCATTTTGGCCCCTCACCCGCATCATCCGCTCCACAAGCCCGACCACCATCACCCCTATTTCTTGACCACTTCGGGTAAGCCTCTCTTCTCTCCAGGGTCAGTTGGGCAATGGGGGGGAGGGGGGAAGGGTCTTCAGATTAGGAGTTTGGGAGAGACAGAAGTTGGGGTTCTCTGGCAGGCAGGCAGGGTTAGGGCAAGGCACCAAGGCAGGGGTAATTGACCTTTTGGGGGAAACATGCAAAGAAGGGTGCGTGGCCCCCGGGAAGGTAACCACGCTGATGTCTGAAATCGCCCAGCTGCACGGCCCCGTGGCTGTGCGCACAAACAGGATCTTGGGCAAGGGAAGAGGCTACCTTCGGCGATCCGAGTCTGCAACCTGTCGGGATTGTGGTTCGAGTAAGCGAGCTGCCGTCTCAAGTACAGCTTGCCATCCGCTCCCATCCGCCACGGGTGAAAATTCAGAGTCCCGTTTTGAGGTCTCTTCTGGAAAAGAACAGCGGTTTTATTTAGGCCGTCTTTAAGGGGCAGTTCCCTTGCTTCCCCCACCCCCCCCCCCTTCGTGGTATTTCCAGAGTATCTTTCAATACAGTGGTTCTTCCTGGAAGTTTTCGGACAAATTAACTGTCAAAAGAATCTTTATTTCTGAGATTCTTAAATTAACAAGTCAGCCCGGCGCGCTCTGCGCTTGCCGTGCCATCACGGAGGCTACGTTTTTGTTAATTTCCAATTAAGCATCAGGTATTTAGTTTTAGAGAGTTCTTTCCTTAATCCGGAAGGAAGGAAGGAAGGAAGGAAGGAAGGAAGGAAGGAAGGAAGGAAGGAAGGAAGGAAGGAAGGAAGGACTTTTTATCCACGATTAAAAAAAACATTTAATCATTTTAAATCTTACATTCCGTCCAATAAAATATTTGATTTTCTGAATTTCCCCCATAGTACGGCACGGATACAGTTTAGAATCTGTTTAGAGACAATCAGGAAAAGGTAATACATTTGGAAGGCGACCAATCCATTACTTTTATTTGCTTTGACAAAATTCCGATCTCTCTAAAGACCTGCGGGTTTATATGCTGCAACTGTATCAAGTGCGGCCGCGACACTTATAAATGGAATTGGGGGGGGGGGAGATGTTGTAAAAGAAACGGGGATAAGCGCATGCTTAGCAGCGCAAACTTATGTTTTAAGCAGTAACGCGCTCGCTGAGGTCAGCGGAGCTAATTCTCAAGAATGCGCAGAATTATAGCTCACGGCAGTCCGGATATGGTATGCTTCTTTACTTGGGAGTAAAATTTATTTAACTCAATGGATTTTTTTTTCCTGAGCAAAAGAATCACTTATCGATCATTCGGGGGGGAAATATATATAAACATAGAAAGAACATCCAAAATTATCCTGGCCCCCTGGCCAAGGATTTAGAGTGCCACGACCACTTCAGAATGAAAAATCGGTTGACATGGCTTTACTCCCCACGCTTTCAGTTACTTGTATTCCAAACTAGAGGAATAACCGCCCAAAGGTAAGCAATGCAAACTCATCCCCCAAAAGCTGGGGACCCCTGCCCTGAGCCCATTTTCCTGCAATCAGCCCAAGAACCAGGGAAGGGCTTCCGCGCCCCTTCCCCAAGACATGCAAAGAACCGGGAAGAACCGGGGAGCAAAACGCTAAGAGCATAGGGCGAAGATTTTCCCCTAGGAAGTCGGTTCCTGCGATCACATACACAAAACTTTCATAGACGTGTGAGCTCGACCAAAAGACAAAGAAATTGCTCTATGAAGGTGCAAAGGACGGGATTGCCCGGACAGCAATCAGCGGGTCAGCCAAGCCGCGGGCAGTGGCGTCCCCACGTAACCCGGGACACGCATGTAGATGAACAAGCAATTTTTGTTTCTCAGTAGCGCGCGTTGGGGGGGGGGGTCTTTAGTGAAATAAAGTCCGGGCTCTTTATTGGGACTCGGCGCCAAACCATGCTTTGCAGAAGCTCCCTCTTCACCCCCATCCCCGCCGAGAACCGGTCTCGAGGCGGCATCGGCGAGCAAGGAACCGCTTCTGCAGGGCGCGGACCCACAAACACGCAACTTTACCGAGGCCGGGATGGGCAGGTGCGCTGTCCTTTCGGGAAGGCAGAGAAATTCGGTCCGAGAACAGCTGGTGTCGCGGAGCGCTCTCGGGCTCAAAAAAAGGGGGGGAATCCATCTGCCCCGCGGCCGACCGGACCCCCGGGTGTCAGAAGCCTCGATCGGTTTGCAGACTTTTCTGGGGGTCCGGATGCCCTGGACTTCGCCGGTCTGCTTCGGGGCTGAGTTCAGGGGGCTGGGGAGGCTTTGGATCCTGAAGCGCGCGGCCACAGCGCTAAGGATGCCAGACAGAGAGGAAGACCTCCGGGGGTCTGCTCTGCAGGGTTGTTGTAAGGCAGGTAGCTGAAAAGGACACCAGTCACGCGGTTGAGTGACTAACAACAGACCCGGCTAAGGAAGGGTCGGGGCCAGCCGGTAAATTAGGGCCCCCCAATAAGCAAAATCACCTTAGCTTGTACACTAAGCTTGAGCAAGGGGCTGGACTAGAAGACCTCTAAGGTCCCTTCCAGCTCCTATCCTGTCCTGTCCTGTCCTGTCCTATCCTATCCTATCCTATCCTATTCTATTCTATCAACTCCGCCCTGGGGTTAATCCGTAGCTCAGGATGCTGGAGGCAGAAACAGAAGACGCGGAGGTGAGAAAAGGTTACCCAGAGCCTTCGGAGGAAAACCAAAAAGCAATTCGGCCCATTTTACACAAATAATTATGACAACCCCTAACGGCCTAACCCAACTAGCAGCGGCAACTGGCGGCTTTTTTCGCACTAACAGGCGAAAAAAGAGGGTAGCTCCGATTCCATGTGGCGGCGCTCTCTCCAGTGTGGCTAGGAGTGGAACCCCCATCATCCCCAGCAAATGGGGCCGTGCAGCAGCCTTGGGGAGGACCCAAGGACCGAAAACGCGCGTCTTCTTTCGGGGAGCACTTTAGAGAAAGACGGCCTCGCTAGAATTCTCTGGCTGGGCCTAAATTTGAGCGGTCGGGAAAAGTTTGGAGGCTACCAAAAGTATTGCGCGATCGTGTGTATGCAAAGCTGCGTGTGTTTGATGCGTGTCCGTGAGTTGCTTTGGCAGGGAGACCGCGTCGCCTTTGCATGCCCGGTCTTCAACCCCTCTTTGCACCGAAGCGCCTCGCGCTTAACTCGACTCCCGTTTTCTTAGTCGTGGGCTCAATTTTTCTTCTCCTTCCGCCACTCAAAGAGAGACCGAGTTGGCTTCGCACAACACAAGGAAAATAAAATATTCTCTGGAGTTTCCCTTTGTAGAGTGAATGTCCTCAAGGTGGGACAGTGATTAATATTTATATGTATTCAGATGCAAGGCTGTACGCATATACATATATATATATGTACGTAGGTGGCATGTCTATACGTGTCTTGTGCATGTGTACACTTTTGAGAGCAGGTCACAGGATTTCGTTTTTAATGCGTGCCAGGGCGCCCGCAGTTTTTTTTTTTTTAAAAAAAATAACAATAAAGGTTATCTTATTCTTACAGCTCGCCGCCTTTTACCCGGGAAAACTTCCCGCATTCCGGATCAGCCGTTCAATTTTTTTAAAAAAATTTTTTTCACGAGTTCAAGCATCCGTCCTCCGGAATGCAGAGACGGGTGGGTGGATGGGTGGGAATCCCCCAACCCAACCTGGACCACGAGAAAGCGGGGGGGGAGGGCAGAGGCGCTTCTGATGGAGCTGCCAAAGTCAGAGGTAGTCTACCCCACCTGGGGGAGGGGGGTGCCCCGTGGTTAGTCCGGGGAAGCCGATGCGGGACCCCAGAACTTGGATTCCCACCCCTTTAAAAAAAAAAATCTGGGCTGCAGACCGGGGCGGGGGGGGAATGACCGCAGAGTCCCCTTCCCCTCCGACGGGTTCCGTGTCTTGTTCCCCGCAGGGGTGCCCATGCCGGCGCTCTTCCAGCCCCACCCGCACGCGGAGCTGCCGGGCAAGCACTGTCGCCGCCGGAAAGCCCGCACGGTTTTCTCCGACTCGCAACTTTCCGGCTTGGAGAAGCGGTTCGAAATCCAGCGCTACCTGTCCACGCCGGAGCGCGTCGAGTTGGCCACGGCGCTCAGCCTCTCCGAGACTCAGGTAACAGCCGAGATGGAGGCGGAATCCCACCCACCCCTTCCTGCCAAGTCAAGGGGAGAGGGGGGGGGGAAACAGCCTTTGTCGTTTATTTATTTATTTTATTTTATTTTATTTATGAATTTTTTATGCCGCCCGTCAAGCGAGTCCAGGCGGCTTACAAAGAGCCGCCCTTTGCAGGGTGGGGGGCGCCCTGAGCCCCCTGACCCCTTCTACGCCGCAGAGAAAGGGTCAGAGAAGGGCTACTCCGGGGAAACCCCTGTCTGAGGCTACGTTCTACCGATTGCTTATTCGATCCCCTCTCGGCAAAGGGGTCTGTAGTTAAGGTCCCCAAAAATGGAAGCGCTCCTGCAGAATTTTGAAGCAGGCGTCTCGAAGCAAATATGTGAAATAGCCGTAGTAACCGTTCGTTAATATTTGGGGCAAATTCAGACAAGATCCCATCTCCCTTCCAAGATATTTCTTTATATGAGTAATATATAAATATAAATGTATATACTCAATAGTGTAACGAGGGTGGAGCCTACCAGGGTAGGGATGGAATTAGGACCGGGCAAAGTATCTAAAGTTTCATGCGTTTGCTCGGAAGTAAATCAATGAATTTCTGTGGGCTACTAAATGAAATTTGTAACGGGCTGCACCCTCATCTCTTCCATCCACGGGGCGAGGAGGAGGAGGAGGAGGAGGAGGAGGAGGAGGAGGGAGGCTGCATTTGAAGGTATTTGATGCCCACCAGCAAAACTCCGCTGGATTTACTTTTCGAGAAAAGCGACATCAGATCTGAGAAATTAAACGCCTATGGAAAATCCGAGAGAGCCTCCCCCACCCCCGAACGTGTGAAAAGGGCTTTCTGCCGCTCCTTCCTGCCCAGTAAGTCGGAGAGGAAGGAGAGCAGAGCCATCGCGGCGTGGACTTCAGCAAGCGAATCTCTCTCTCGCTCCCTCAGTTTCCCCGAGTGTAACATTTCATAAGGGCCTTCTGCTCCCTTCTTTTCCAGTGACTTGAATGGAAAGCCTCTCCTTCCCACCTTCCCGCCTCACAAATCGAAGCTTGCAAAGCTCCGGGAAGGCGCTTGCACGAACACGTGTAAAGCTGGCCACGCGGGGTTTAGTTCTGTCCCCGGGCTCTCTGGCAGAAAGGGACAGCGCTGCGCCCTCTAGAGATTGTCACCTCCAAAGAACAGGGCCTGGGGGAGGAGAGGGGGGGGAGAGAGTGGGCCGGCTGGGGATGATGGGAACTACAGTCCAATAACACCTGGACTGGTCCCATTTTATACTGACCGAAAAATAAGGCGATCTTAAATAAGGTTCCCCCCTGAAGGAAGATAAACAAAAAACAAACAAACCCCAAAACGCCTGCCCATTATTCTGGTGTCTTCAGATGAGTTCACACGACGCTATAATACCTGAACCGGACTACAAAGCCCCAACAGAGTTGAGCTGAGCGAAGAACCCCCTTAAACAAACGTCTGTGGAGATTCTCAACCACCCAGGTCGCGGTTGTCCCAAAGCTGCTTTTTTTTTTCCCCCCCCCACGAGGCAACTGGACTTTCTTGTTTTTCTTCTGAAGACGTTTCGCTTCTCATCCAATGGGAAGCTTCTTCAAGCTCTGCTCAAGAAGCTGAGGAAGCTTCTTGGATGAGAAGCGAAACGTCTTCAAAGAAAAAAACAAGAAAGTCCAGTTGCCTCGTTGGGGGGGGGGGGGAAGCACCTTTGGGGCAAAAACCCCAAGCGACGTCCTCCCGAATCCGGATTAGCTCCTAGCGGAGAAGGGCCGACGTCTCGCTTTCCCACTGGCTGCTTCTCCCCGCAGGTGAAGACCTGGTTCCAGAACCGGCGGATGAAACACAAAAAGCAGCTGCGGAAGAGCCAGGACGACGCCAAAGCGGCCGGGGCCGAGGGGGCCGACCTGGCGCCCGGAGACCCCGAGCTGGACCCGCCGGGCCAAGCCAGCGCCTCCCAAGCGGCCACTTCGACCTCCGAGGTCCGCCCAAGCGGCCCCGCGCCGCCCTTCCTGCTGGACGAGCACGAAGACGAGGTGGACATCATCGAGGGGGGGGAGCTGTGCGGGCCTCAGCACCTCATTTAAGGGCGCTGGGAGGGGCGCGGAACGTCGGAACTGGAGCCGGTGGTCCAGGCCGGGGAGGGAAGGCGAGCGGCGGCCGCTGGGGAAGAGACTTCGGGGGTCCCAGCGGGATCGGGCCCCTCCCTCCTCTTCCAGACTCAGGACGGAGGGGGGGGGCTTTGCTTTGTCAGCATGTCCCGCCCCACTCCTCCTCCTCCAGGCCAGGGGAAATGGTTGTGAGAACGGGATGGGAGGATGCGGGCTGAGATTCACACAAAAAAGGGAAAAAGATAAAAAAAGACACCAGATTGGAAAACGCGGTTCCTTAAGTCAGCGCTGCCGTTCCTGCTAGCTCCCCTCTCCCCTCCCTGCCTCCCCAGTAAGAAAATGCGAAGACTGGAAAAAGAACGCGCGTCACCTGAGTTGTGTGAATAGGGGCTCAGATTTGCGGGTAGCCACGCGGCTTTTCGCCAAGTATCCACAACCTGTAGTGAAAAGCCCCGGACACGTGGAAAGGCCGGACAGGCGAGGAAACGTCCACAAACCGGCCGGGTTTTTTTTCCCCCAACTCACGTGAAAGTGACAGCTCGTTTCGGGTCGTCGGAACCATGCGGGTGACCTCATTCTGCGCGTTTTTATTCCCAAAATACAGATATACTCCTCCTGCAAGCCTCCTTCAGATACGAGTTGAAAAAAAGAAAGGAAAGGCGATCCGGGCTAGGAACCCCGTTTCTTTGAGCAGGCGTTAAAGGGGGTTTAATGCGGGTCGAAATTTATTCCTGTGGTTTTCAGGGCTTTTTTTTTTTTTTAACAAACCAGGGGCGGCTGGTTCTCACGAACCGCGCTGCAGGAATCGACGTCCTTCGGTTGGCTCCCAATCACCTTTTGAAGCCGAAGAAAAGTTTTGCCTAACCAAACGCCCCCCCCCCGGGGGGGAAGATCGTGGGAATGGGAGGGGGGAAAACAAAACCCATCATCAAAACGGAGCGGAAGGAAAGAAAGGAAGTGAAGAAGGAAGGGAAGAAGGGAAGAAGGAAGGAAGGGAAGAAGGAAGGAAGGAAGGAAGGAAGGAAGGAAGGAAGGAAAGGAAGGAAGAAAGAAAGAAAGAAAAAGAAAGAAAGAAAGAAAGAAAGAAGGGAAGAAGGAAGGAAGGGAAGAAGGAAGGAAGGAAGGGAAGAAAGAAAGAAAAAGAAAGAGAGAGAGAGAGAAAGAGAAAGAGAGAGAGAGAAAAAGGAAGGAAGGAAGGAAGGAAGGAAGGAAGGAAGGAAGGAAGGAAGGAAGGAAGGAAGGAAGGAAGGAAGGAAGGAAAGTCTGGAATTTTACCAAGGCGAAATAAAATAAAATCCTGCGGAAAAAATCACGCCTAGAATTGGTAATTTGAAAGCGGCAAGCGAACCGGGCCTGGGGGAAAGAGCGAGCAGAAACTAAGATCCACCCGCGGGGACTCGCCAGATCAAACGTGTCGAGCGCCTTCTTTGAAGGGACCAAAGGGAATCCGGGCTAGGAAGGCAAGAAGAGCGAAGTTTCCAGGGGCTTCACAACTGGAAGAGGTTGGGTTGGGTCTACGTGCTTTTACTGGAGAAGAAGCCCCGTTGCTTTAAGCGGGACCGGTTGGGCTGGAGACATGCAGCTGGATGGCGCCCTCGCTGGGGATGAATCCCGTGCGCTAAAGTGGGGAGGGGGCGTTCTTGTCCAAATCCGGCAACCCAGTTAAGAAACCAGTCCTGCTGATTCCAACCGGAGCTTTGGTTTGCTAAATCTGGGGAGAGGGCATTGGACATCTTAATCTGGACACCGGTCCGCCATCCTTATCTCGGCTGTCTTAACAACGGATCCTATGTTTGCCAGGGACCAGTGGACTTGGCCTTATGTGATTTTTGTTTGAATGGGGGGGGGGGCTTTGGGATCCTGGTGGCTCTAGGCTGTAAAGCTCACTGGTGTGGTTTGATCAAGGGTTGTAGGGGGACATCTGAATCCAGCCAAGTGTGTGGCTTGCACCTAGGGTGAAGCAACTTGTCCCTTCGCGCAACGTGGGGACTGGGTCACTGTGTAGGTATTGAAATGACCCCTCCCCAAACCATTGTTTTCCTCATGCTTTTAATTATATTTACTTTTTCAATTACTGTGCTTGTGAGCCTCAAAATATCTAGAGAACATGGTAAATTCAATATCATAATTTCCCTCCCTCCTTTTTCTTTCTTTTCTTTCTTTCTTCTTTCTTTTTCTTTCTTTCTTTCTTTCTTCCTTCCTTTCTTCCTTTTTATTTCTTTCTTTCTTTTCCTTCTTCCTTCCTTCCTTTTTCTTTCTTTTCTCTTTCCCTTTTCTTTCTTCCTTTCTTTTTCTTTCTCTTTCTCTCTTTCTTTCTTTCTTTCTTTCTCTCTTTCTCTTTTTCTTTTTCTTTCTTTCTTTTTCTTCCTTTTTATTTCTTTTCCTTCTTTCTTCCTTTCCTTCCTTCTCCTTCCTTCCTTCCTTCCTTTTTCTTTCTTTCTTTCTTTCTTTTTTCTTCCTTCCTTTCTTTTTCTTTCTCTCTTTCTTCCTTCTTTCTTTTTCTTTCTCCTTCCTTCCTTGCTTTCCAGATTTTTGAGATGTGTCAGCTCATACCACACTAGAGCCTCTTTACAAGTCGGCAAATCAAATATTCTTTCTGCAGATTCCTGCAGTCATATCCTAATTTGGTCCAAATCTCTTACTCTTATGTTCCAGTGCATTTTCTTCCACACAGTGCAAATTCTGAAAGATGGAGAGATCCAGGAAAGAGCCTGGTGTTGGATATTTCCAAGGAAGACCTTTTCGAGCATTAATTACGCTGTTTCCCCTCTCAGTAAGACTTTGGTGGACCATATTTTTCTCTTAAATCTAGGATGTGTGGAAAAACTGTGTCGCTGCAGTGGAGGCAGAATCCTAAACAGGGAATGACCTTTCCTATTTCTGTTTCCTCTCCTAGAAACATTTTCAAAAACAGTCACTGGAAATTCTCAGTTTTTGTTCTCACTCTTCGGGGTTTCAGTGGCTCCATCTCATCTCCCATCCAAAGACTGAAATTTGCCATCTGCAGCAAAGATAAACAACCATGATCTCCTTGGTTGTCCCCACATGCAAATACACACAATTTGGCGGTTTTAAGGCCTCCTGATAAAATAAAACAAATTAGAAACGGTGAAAAAAATCCAGAAGTTGGCTAATTTGTCTCCTTGGAAATCTCTTATCAGAATCACGTATGATGCATTGCATAATCTGAAGCAAGTTCCATCCGAGTTTGCTTAAATTAAGCAATCCTAGATTGCAGTCTGAGTTTTGATTTGAAACCTGCTGACTTTTGAGTTTTCATACTTCCAACCTGGGAGATTCAGCAAATGTAAATTTTCCCGAGGCTTTTTTCTTCAGGGCAGAATTTTTCTGGCTCTTTCGTAAAGGGCAGTGAAGTTTATCCTGTTAATCAGAGAGCTTAATTGGTCAAAGATATTTACATGGCTAAACATGTGAACAGGTTTTTTTTGGCAGCAGATCTCTAAACAATAAAAACATATACAAATGGATTTTCAATGAGGGTGCCTGTAACGAGATTGGACATGAAGTACATCAAGAAAATGAAGTTATTCTTTAAATGTTTTAAAGTAAATTTACAAAGAAATGTATGGAAGGGAGGGAGGGAGGGAGGGAGGGAGGAAGGAAATAAGGAAGGAAGGAAATATCTCACTGCTGAGGAACTTTTACCAGAATGGAGATACAAAATATTCAGATACCACTACATGGCGGAAAAGATTTAGAGTTTTCTGTATCTCTGTTGCCCTCTACTGGTTATCTGGATTTCTGCAGCCCAGATGTGGTAGTCCTAGTTTAACTAATCTGCAAATGTAAGCAGATTGGTGAGCTTGCCAACTAATTAGTATGATTAGTTAACTTGCAGCTATTTCTAAAGAGGGAAAAAACACCGAATTAAACTGTATTATGCCTTCAGTTGAGGTCCCTATTCTTGTACCCCAAGGTTCCTGCATGCTTCAGAAATTTATTGGATGAAGTGCTTTGGACTTTGGATAAGGAATGTATGGTGCTTTAAGGCATCAATTCCTGAGATTAATGTAGTGATTAAGGCATCAGGCTAGAAACTAGGAGACTGTGAATTCTAGTCTCTCCACCGGCATGAAACCAGCTGTGTGACCTTTGGCTGATTTCTTTCTCTTAGCTCTAGGGAGGAGGCAAAAAACGCCCCAAAACTTTACTAAGTAAACTGCATGGACTTATCCAGGAATTAATTTGACCGAGGTATGCATGCACAAAAACTACACCCAGTGTTTCTGGTCAGCCTTTGGCTTAGTGTGTCATGCTGGCCTCAAAAATATTGGTTCAACAGAGATAAACAGATATTGTCTGTAGTGAGTTGTGAAATACTTAACATCCCTTACCGCTGTTTATATTGTACCTGAGAAACCTTTTTCTTACTACAGGACCATGTTTCTGAATGTCACCAACTTTAAGATACGTGGACTTCAACTCCCCAAATTCCATGGCCAGCAGAATTCTGGAAGTTGAAGTCCACAGTTCTTAAAGTTACTAAGAACTCATTGATATAGAAGCTTTCAGAGGAAGAATTAGCTGCTACGGTATTTTTACACCCACCTCGTATTCACCTGAACTCATTCTTGATAGACCTCATCTCTTCCTTCATACTTTTTTATTCTTCTACCAAACTTTTTCAACCCGGTGTCTTCCATGGCCTACATGTCATGTTCCTACAGTCTCCCATCAATTTTAGAAAGAGGTAAACACTAGAGGCCTCCATGGTAGACATAAAACGTCATAAAGTCCTCTCTGTGTTCTCCTAAATTCTACAAATGATGATAACATCAGTACTAAGGTCTGGTATGAAGAAACATTCAAAAGAGAATTCGGTTCCATCCAATTTGTCTGGAGAGAAAAATACAGATTAGGCTTAATTAATTATGCAACTAGGAGTGTCATATCTAAGATCAATCAATCCACTGTTATCCATTTAATAATATTTCTAATGGGACTTTTGTTCTGGCTCTGCTCCATTCTGGAATTCATATCTTGGTCCATTACTCCCAAGTCAGGGGGAATCCTCATTGAATCAAAATTCCATACCTCTGATTTATATTCCAATATTTTCAGACTATCCTTTTTTTCTCAACCTATCCTGGCAGGAAAATCATAAAATGTATAGGATTTTTAAAATTCTGATACAATTTTTTGGGGCATCATATATTTTACCCCCAAAGTTTAGCAGTCTGGATCCAGAAGTTTATAACAGAAATTCCTCCTCAAGCAAAAAGCTTTATCCGTAACTTTTTAAAGATGGTCCTGCCCTCCAGGTTGATACAGAAAGCATATCAGATACTGGAGGTGAGCAATTAAGACATTAAGCATTGTCCAACACATGGCTATATTTGCATTTTATCCTAATAATAAGCCCATCAGCTCATTTTCAGGAGACAGAGACTCCTTCAACTAAATCCTCTGATCAAAGCAAAAAAAGACGCTTGCATTTTAAAAAAAATAAAAATAAAAAAAATCAGAAAAGGAAATGCTAATTTAGACCCCTTAATATATGGTGGTAAGAGAGTCCTTCAATTAACTCAATTCTATGGCTCGGGGAAATAAGAATAATAATAATAGGTACAAAGAGTCAGATTAGAAAGGTAGAAATACTCATTAAATCAAAAAGGTCCAGCATTCATTATTGCCAGCATCTGGGGCTAAACATGGACGAGGCTACTCATCAAAGAGGTATCAGTGTGTGTGTGTGTGTGTGTGTGTGTGTATAATGGGTTAAATTGAGAGTATCACCTAATTAAAATATTAGGCAATGAATAAACAGTTCTTTGATATCCCTCTAAAGGTTGCATTAAAAATTAGGTTCTCGAGCTTTGTATTAAAAGGAATTATCATTTTTAGTCAGGAAAACAGCAAGGTGAGGGAGCTCATCAGAAATACTTCAAAGTCGTGCCGTTTCGGTTGCTTCGTTGCTTATTATCCGAGAGGATCAGCTCTGAATCACAGCTATCCAGACGTACAGATTTTACAAGCTGCGTTTGGGGAGACTAAAGTGAGAATCACAGAGAAACAGGCAGAGAAGGACCAGGAGTTGGACAACAGTTTTTGTAATAATAATAATAATAATAATAATAATAATAATAATAATAATAATAATAATAATAATAATAATAATAATAATAATAATAATAACAACAACAACAACAACAACAACAACAACAACAACAACAACCTACAAATAGAAATAGAAAGACTGTGGCAAAACCAAGCAAGGGTAGTACCAATAGTAATAGGTGCCTTGGGTGCAATCCCAAAACAACTGGAGCACCACTTGAACACCATTGGCATTGACAAATTCGCTATTAGTCAATTGCAAAAGGCAGCCTTACTAGGAACTGCTTCCATCCTGCGACGATATCTGTAATACCATCAAACATCTGCCTATCCCAGGTCCTGGGTAAGGACTCGATAGGTAGACAAAATGCCAAATCCAGTCTGAACATCTGGCTGACTGTGCGATGATCCATAATAATAATAATAATAATAATAATAATAATAATAATAATAATAATAATAATAATAATAATAATAATAATAATAATAATAATAAAAGTTGGAAGGGACCTTGAAGGTCATCTAGTCCAACCCCCTGTTCAGGCAGGAATCCCTATGCCATTTCAGACAAATGGCTGTCCAGTCTCTTCTTAAAAAGAAAAAGAAATGATTAAATTAAATTATTGTGCAATCTCATTGAAAATCGCCTAAACTCGTGGCCAAACCAAGTACGTGGCAAAGAATTTTATTAACGTCCGCCTGGTTGTAAGCTGGGCAGGGCAACGCACTAAACTTCTCTTAATGTAATACTTGCAACAGTGCATTTAGTGACCATTGAAAGTTACAGTGGCACCGAAAAAAGGGACTTATGACCGTTTTTCGCACTTATGACCGTTGCAGCAGCCCCAGGGTCACGGGATCAAAATTCAGATGCTCGGCAACTGGTTCATGTTTATGACGGTCGCAGTGTCCCGGGATCATGTGATCCCCTTTTGCGACCTTCTGACAAGCAAAGTCAATGGGGAAACCAGGTTCACTTAACACACGTGTTACTAACTTAACAACTCGCAGTGATTCACTTAACAACAGTAGCAAGAAAGGTCATAAAAAGAAACTGGAAGCCGGTGCAGTTTGTGCACAGAGATGTTACACAGGCACCCCTAGGGGACCCCCATTACTGTGTGTGCTTCTGTATTCTGGATCAGCTGAAGTTTCTAGGTGGTCGTCAAGGCAGACCCATTGCATTGCACTACTCTAGATTCTACATCTAGGTCCTTGATTTAGGCTGGCCCTTAAACCATCCAAAGATGGATTTTTTGTTTGGAAAGGAAGCCCTGGAATGGAGGGAAGGAAAACAGAAAGATCACTTCTAGATCATCGTCCACTCAATGTTTTAATCATCAACAATAAAATTCCAACAAAAATAAGGCTGAATGCAACTCATGGAAAACACCCCAGATCTTGCAGAAGTTCATGAAACTCATCACGGTATGCTCGTCCTTCCGGACCACAAGTGAACACGGAGAGAAGAGAACGGAGGAGCGGGGACATGGCCTCCTCGTCAGACAATATGGAGTGTTTTGAACGCAGCAACCACCTGCTTCTCTTTCTCATGCCTGTTTTGCAGGGATTCCAGAGAGGAGATCGGAGGAAGATTCTCTCCATTTAATGTCCGTGCCAGGTTTTTCTCCTCTTTGGTCTCTTGCTCCGACGATCTTGACACAAAAAGTCGAGGCTTGGGGATTGTCTTGGCGTATTCAAGGGCCTACAGAAGCAAGGAAACAAGGCCACAACAGTTGGTCTGAAAAACCTCTAAGCCCAGATTAGAAAGAGTCCATTTCCGAGGAAGAAGCAGTGGGTTCCTTCACGTCAGCCTCTCCACAAATTCTTCCCCCATCTAAACAACAAAACCACCCTCAAAAAAAATTTCCTTTTCAAGGCTCAAATTCCAGATTTCGACTTCGAATAGAACCATGGTAGGAAAAAAAGGGACCAGAAGGGAAAATTTTAAGAAGACATAAAACCAGCACGTAAATAGAGCCGTGGTGGCGAAGTGGTCAGATTGCAGTATTGCAGATTAACTCTGCCCACTGCCAGGAGTTCGATCCTGATGGGGCTCAAGGTTGACTCAGCCTTCCATCCTTCCAAGGTCAGTGAAATGAGGACCCAGATTGTTGGGGGGACAATATACTGACTCTGTAAACCGCTTAGGGAGGGCTGTAAAGCACTATGGAGCGGTATAGAAGTCTAAGTGCTATTGCTATCTGCTTTACTGGTTGCATAATGCATATAAAGAAGGAGTAACAAAATTATTTGGTTCTCTAAGTTTATCACTTCTCTGCCTTCTCTTACCACTGAGGTCACTGTAGGAGATGTCAATCTCCTGCTGCTCCACTCATACATTTGGTAGGACTTGTTCTTAGTGAATTGGAATCCAGTTGGCAACCTTTTGAGCTGGTAGGCTTGTTATATAATCATGTCTGAAGGTACACATATGCCCCTTCCGTCCTAAGTGAAAATTTGGCAAGATTTTTGAAATCACGCTCCCTTACGATTTCAACCCAGGTTAAAACTAGACGAATTGTAAAAAATTATCATGAGGAAGGAACTATGTCTGGACCACACACAACTTTGGTGATGAAAGCGATCAAAATCCAGATGATTCACGTCAAGACAGAGAACCAGGGGGATTTTGATCATTCAAGAGAAAGCTCAGCCTTGATCCTTGAAGACCACTATTTCTCAAACTTGGCAATTTGATGAAGGGTGGACTTCAACTCACAGGATTCCCCAACCAGCACGGGGAATTCTGGGAGCTGGATGTCCACACATCTTTGAGGTGCCAAGATTGAGAAACACTGCTCCAGACAGTCTCCTGCTTTGCTAGTTTTCTTACCTTCTGCCTTGACACCACTGATTTGTCCTCCGTTTTCAGTTGAGGTTTCCGTGCACTTGAGATATTCTTCAGATTTTGTTCATTGACTTGCTTGGCATACACTTTTTGGTGCTTCATCTTTTCTGACTGTCAAAGGACAAACAGGAGGAGCTCAAGGGCAGGCTGGAGACGAGTGTTTAATGTATTTTATTTAAATCGTTCAATTTGCATGGCTGCCTGTCTCAAACGAGTCGAATAGTTCAAGTATGATCTTTAGAAGGAAGTGTGGCAGATGGAGGGGTGGATTCTAAACAGGGGGGAACCCCAGATTTTAGAGACTCTTGCTATGCAAGACAAAGCTTTTCAGCCAGGCATGATTTCATGAGCGAATCTCCCCTGAATTTTTTTAAAGAAAAGATAGCGTGTGAATATGATGATTCCTTGATTAGGCTATTATTTACTGTTAGCTTGTTTGTCTCAGTTGGTAGATCTTTGATTGGGGTATTGTCTAAAAAGACCAAAACACCTCCTCACCAGCAATCAACACACTAAGATTGATACAAGACCAACAATCAAGCAGTAAACAATACCCCAACTGGGGAACTACCAGCTCAGACAAACAAGCAAGCAATAAACAACAGAAATAAAAAACAAACCACCAAGAGCAAACCCCACTCCCTTCTAGCACTGGTGATATTACCTAGTTGGGTCATGAAATGTCTGCAAGAAAACAACCAAGCCCAGAGAGCATTAAGGACCCCTCGGATCAACCCTGAACTACAAATATTCTCTCCCATTGGTATGTTGAAGATTTTACATTGTTTCCCCTACCTGCCTTCCAGCAGAATTGGGTGTTAAACCATAACTTTGAATGGTTGCTAAACGATTGATTGTAAATTGAGGACCACATATACTGACCCTGTTGTGCCAGTAACATGGACGATAACTAGCATGTTTCCATTCATTCAAAGTCAAAAAAATAAAAATGAGGGCCTGGAGAGGAGGCTTTTCTCCATTCTTTCTCGGCTGATCAGCTCCATCTTCTCCTTTGGACCAAAGGAGAAACATCAGACATCAGATTAATGCCAGATGTTTCCTAACAAGGCGTAATGCGCATTCAGCTCTTCACAACTAGATTTTCTCGGTTGGGTTGACTTCCATTTTTTTATCCTTTTGTGATAAGCCAGGAGCATCTAAACTCCCCAGAACAGCTCAATTGCATTAAAGCAATGCACATTTGAACACACCAAAAGAGAATGAATTTGTCTGCAATTGGAACTCTCTGCAGGAGAACGCAGACTAATGTATCTCTTCTACCAAAGCCCCCCAAAAAACTACACCTTGGAAGCATGATCTACTCTGAAAGGGGCCAGAAGTTTTCTGGACATTGATTTATTTATTTTGGTCGTGAAGGACAGAACCCAAGGGAGGTGGTCAAATCCTGTTAAGATCTTTCTGTGACTTTTTAATCTTTTCTCCCTCAATTTCTGAACTTAGATGGGTTTAGTGGTTAGAATAGCAATCACAATCAACTTCTCCCCACTATCGAGGGTTACATTTTTTAAAAAGGAAATGCACACATAAAATGAATTATCCAGTCAATTAAATAAAATGAGCACGCACACACACAACCTCTTTTATAACAGTGGGGATCTCTCATATCCCCCAGAGAACTACATCCAACTACATCCTTTTGTTGAGTCACATGAATGCCCCATCTGACCCAGCATTCAAGTTTTAAAAAGTTTCGCCTAGAACAGACTCCTCCAGATGCATTAAATAAACACCAATTCTTAACCTTCTCAGCAATGTTACCATTATAGTGGAAAGATCCTCACGAACAAGTTCTGAAATAATAGGTCTCTTCTGCTGATTGTCTCCTTCAGCTAGGTTGCTGAGCAAGATAACTCAACTGATCAGCAAGAGGAGGACTCTCTGTTGTGAATGGATCCATCCATCCAATCCTTCATCCAAGCACGTGCAACTTCCAGATCTCCTGGACAAACATCTCTGATGATCCCTTGTCTTTGACTGGGCTAATGGGGCTAATGAGATGTGAAGTCTAAAACATCTCAAGAGTACCAGATTGCCTTAGATCAGGGGTAGGCAACCTTGGCTCTTTTATGACTCGTGGACTTCAACTCCTGGCTGGCTCAGGAAACCTGGGAGTTGAAGTCCACAAGTCATAAAAGAGCCAAGGTTGCCTACCCCTGCCTTAGATCTATCCAAGTTAGTAGCTGGATGAACTCTGAAGGCGTCCTCTCTTTTTCTGAACTTCTGAATTTCTTGCAAATTAGATAGATTGAATGAACCAACGTTGTACTATTCTTCACTAATAGTATTAGAGATTGTGAGGTCCTTGATGCCCTCTATGCTTGATGGTTTTCTAGCAGACATTTCATGACCAAACTAGGCAGCAGCATCAGTGCTACCAATACTAGAGATTCTTTGTCCATTCCTTTATTCCTGATTTTAATTTGGCAACGCAGCCCAAACCCTTCACTTGTAAAGTTCCGCAGACGAACTCAACTAAAGAAGATCTTCACCAATGCCATTCCTCTTACTTTTTCTTTGATGGTTTCATAGTCAGGTCCAAGGCCTCCCAGCCTCACGTCCATCTTCACGTAACCTTTTGCCCTGGAGCCCTGAACAAAGAAGTAACGTGAAGTTTTGAAAGAAATAATGGGGGCCGAGAAAGAATCAACTACAGGAAGAGCACATAAAACAGAGGGAGAATCGTTGGAAGTCTAGGAACATCACAAGCAGGATGTTTCTGTGTCTGCCGAGCCAAGATCAAGGGCCACCTTAGACCTAATGGGAAACTAGTTTTCTACTATGTGAATAATTGGAGACTCACACACCTGCCCTCCCTTCTCTGGAGCTGCAATAAGGAAATTACTACTATTAAGTGTTTGCTTTGATTTCTTTAAACACTAACTAGAATTCTACACGTTGATCTTAGCTTGTTCTTATTCACGACAGTTTAAACAGACTACGGGCTGAGCCACAGGATCTCACTCATCGTGGGGAAATGTCGCTTGTTCAAAACCTAGAGGAGCTTCCGATCTCCTCCTGATCTCAGCCTTCCTTGGTAGACCAGATAGGACACACAACCTAATGAGGCAATTCTGTCTGTCTGTCTGTCTGTCTAACTATCATCTCAAGGAGACGAACATATCCAACATAACTTCTTCCTCTTATTTTCCCCACAACAACAGCTCTGTGGGGTAGGGTGGGCTGGGCTGAGAGTGTGTGAGGCTGGGCCAAACTCACCCAGCTGGCTTTCATATTATAAGGCTACATCAGGGGTGTCAAACTGCCGGCCCACGGGCTGGATGCGTCATTGGAAAACCACGTCCACCCCATTGCCGGCAATGGCGAAAAAGCTCAGATACGTTGCGCGACATCACGTGACGTCGCGGGTTTGACAGGTCTGGGCTACATTAAAAGAATATTCGAGACCGCCTCCTGCCACAGATTACCTCCCATCGGCCTGTACGCTCCCACAGGGTGGGTCTCCTCAGGGTGCCGTCGGCCAGACAGTGCCGGCTGGCGACCCCAAGGGGGAGGGCCTTCTCTGTGGGAGCTCCCACCCTCTGGAATGAGCTGCCCCCAGAGATCAGGGTGATCCCTGATCTCCCTTCCTTCCGC